TGTGCGCCTTTGCGGTTCGCTACGCTGCTCACCAGTTGAACCTCTCTGGTCACGTGTTTCACGCCTGGAGGTTTCCCCCACCTGTCTCTGGTCTGGGTCTCCTGGTGTTGCGTCCGGATTTTGTGTTTGGGGGTGCCTTGCGCATGTCCGCGATCCTCGCGCGGACAAGCTCTTGTCTCGCAACCTCTGATGTGTCTTCCTGGTCAGACACACCTCACCTCACCCAGGTTCCTGATGTCAAAATATGTTCTATGTAATATAACAGACTGTTCTTAGTTGTAGTGTAGTTATAAACTGTGTAATGGTGGTGCACCTTTTCTTGTTCTTGCTTATATGTTCCTTCTTTGCTATAGTGAAACCCCTTTTGGCCAACGCTTGCTCTCGTTTCTCTGAACATGCTCCCCGCCATCCAAAACCTAGTTTCCTACTAAGTTTGTCATTTGACATGGCATCGAGCAGGCGTTCTTGCCTGCCCGTTTTTTTTTTTCAATGGCACCCGTCATGCCACTCGTTGCGCCCTCAGTTGCAATGCCCGTAGCAACGGTCGCGATGGTCGCCACAGTCGTGACCATGATCGAGCTTACAACCCCTCTGTCGCGGCGCCCGTCGTCGACCCTCGTCACGCCCGTTTCGTCCCGCCCGTTTCGTCCCGCCCGTTTTGTCTCGTCACCCTGCACCGCCGCCCTTCCCGTCATGCAGCCTTCCCGTCCCGGTTGTCGCGTCCCCCGGCGTTATGGCCCCCCGTCCTGTCCCAGCACCCCGCCCACCCTCCCGTTGGCCCCACTGCTGCTGTCGCGACTGCAACTTCCGCGATAACAGTCGCTGCGCCCGCGGCTGCTGCATCTGCACCCCTCCCCCGTCGCCTCACTCGCACCTCCCTCAGCACTCCTGCTGTTGGGGGAGGTGATGGGGATGGCGGCCAGTGGAGGGGATATGGCGGGAGAGATGCTGCACCGCCTGCCGCTGCTCTGCCATGCCTGACTTTGAGGGGGAAAGGCTGAGGGGGTGGTGGGAGGGATCCTGCAGGGACAATTGTGGGTGGGGAAAATTCCGGAGGAAGGGTGGGGGGGAGGGGGTTAGGTTAAATCGGGCGGCTAAAAACGGGGGTGAGGTTAAAGGGGGTGGTTGAATAGGGGGGTGGGGACTTGGGGGTTTGTAACGGGGGGGGGATCGCTATGAGCTGTCATGCTCATGCACGCCCCCCACCTCCTCTCCTCTCCCTCTCTCACCTCCCCCCTTGTAAAAGGGGGTTCGTAATGGCGGGTGGTCGTTATGAGCTGTCACGCTCATGCCCGCCCCCCACCTCCTCTCCTGTCCTTCTCCCACCTCCCCCTTCGTAAAAGGGGGTTCATAACAGGGGGGGATTGCTATGAGTTGTCACGCTCAAGCCTGCCCCCCACCTCCTCTCCTCTCATATCCTCTCCTCTCTCTCTCTCTCTCTCTCTCTCTCTCTCTCTCTCTCTCTCTCTCTCTCTCTCGAATGGTCCGTTGTATTGATATAGGGATGTGAAAACAGCAAAGGCAAGCAGGCAAGCAACAAACAGGAAAGTCCAACTCTTCCCCACCCTACTCTCAAACCCTACCCTCCCCCCCCCCCCCCCCCCCCCCAAGTCGTCTACTCACTACCATTGCACGGCTCTAGGGTTGCAAAGCAATCCCCCGGGTCCAGGACCCCCTCAGGTCCTCCTAGGGCAGGGTTTTCTATCTGGGCTGCCTGGTTCATCTTGATGAGGAAGCTCACGGCCTGTGCCCTCTGCAGGGCAACCGACCACCGCTGGCGGAACTGGTGCAGCAGCTTGGCGGCCTGGTAGGTTGAGGGGTCCGCGTTGAAGTGCAAGCGTGCTGCTCTGTCCGCCAGGTGCTTCAGGAAGTCCTGCACCTCGTCACATGGGCAGCCATAGGTTTCGACTGCCAGGGGGTAGAAGCCCGCAAATTCTGCCCTGCCGTGGTATAGCCCTATTTTCTTGTCCGCCGCCTCCCTTGCTGCCCAACCCCTTCCATTCCTTGCCGTCTCGTCCCTCTTGCTGATGGGGTCGGTGATGGTGATGTCGCCCAGCCACACCGCCCCACTGCTTCTATCCCGAATGGCCAGGTCGGCCTTCTTGTTGTCGACCGGGCTAAACGCCGTGCTCTCCTTGTGCACAATGAACCCCGCGTCCTGCGCCATCCTCACACACTCGTCCCGCAGCTCGTTGTGTGTGTTGGTCCGCCCGTGCCCTGTGCCGCAGCGGAGGAGGTGGTTGGGGAGGCGCTTGTCTGCAATGGCGACTCACTTGGTGCAGTCGCAGTTGTCAGGGACGGGGAGAGGCAGTCCTAGGCGGAACTGGAGGGCAAACGAGAAGTGTTCGGGGTTGAGGCGGAGGGAGGACATGTAGGGGATGGCTATCAGCCAGTCCCCTGCACCATAGCCTGTGAGGGACAGGAGCCGCTGCGTGTGGCCGCATAGGTGGTTTGGCTCTATGTGCCGCGATGCTGCTACTTGTGCGGCGCTGCGCCCCCCCTGGACCAGGAGGGCGAGTCGGTGCTGCAGCTGTCCCTTGGGCGCTGCCATTTCTGCCACCAGCAGGTCACGTCCCTCCTGTGTGAGGCTTGCCCTGCACTCCCCGAGCCAGGCTTGCAGATGGTTCGGGTCCGGATCCACCTCCTCTGTCCAGTTCAGCGCGGTAGAGAGGTGAGCCCCGGCCGGGCCGGGCAGGGAGGCAAGGAGTCCATGGGCCTGGACGAAACTTGCCAGGTAACTGTACCGTCCTTCCACCGCTGGGTCTGCAAGCCCCAAGCCTCCCAGGCTTGGGGGGAGGGAGGCCTGGTCCCACACACGTCTCCCCTCCGCTTCCCCCCTTGGATGACGAACGCCGCAGGCGTCAAGCAGAGTGTGGAGCAGCGTCTCGCCCCATCGTGACCATTCTTCCTCTGGCAGCAGGCTGAGTGGGGTGGTGCGGGCGAGATAAGACATCCGTCTCGAAATGCACCTCGTCAGCAGCAAAGACGCTGCTTGCGGGTCGAGGTCAGATATCTGCGGGAGGGGAGTCGTCATTGCCTGCAGCTGCGCTCGGATAAAGGCGGCTGCTCCTTCTGGCGCGCCAATGAAGCTGCCCAACACCCGCAGACCGTTGGGGCAGAATGGGACCCCAGCTGGCAAGGACCCCTCCGGTGGTTCCTCTGTGCTCCACGCCGCGCACTTCCCCGCGTTGTGTCTCAACCCCATGCCTCTCAGGCTGCTAGTGAAGTGGTTGAACGCTGCCGTGCACTCCGCTGCTTCCCCCAAGAACGTGACGTCATCAGCAAATGCGAGGCAGAGCACGGTCGGGAAGGAGGCTGCTGTCGCGGCAAGAGCCGGTTGAATACCTGCCGCGAAGAGCAGCGGCCCGAGTGGATCGCCTTGACGTACCCCCGTGACACTGGTTAGCGGAGGGCTATTAAATCCAGCGTCGAGAAAAAGCTCGGACGGCGCGCCGTAAGAGATTCGAACTAGGGGCAGGATCCCTTGCAGCGCGGTGTCGCGTAGGCCCGTCACTATCGCCTCGCGGCCAATGCTATTGAATGCGTTCGAGAGGTCCGCCTGTAAAATCGTGGCCCTGCTATGCGTGCTCATATACGAACGGGCGGCGTGGATTATCACCTCGCTACCCCCCTGGACGGCGACACAGTACTGTAACGGGAGGAAGTGGTGGCGTGCCTCTTCCGCTAACGCATGTAGCGCTGATTTCGCCGCGAGGCGTAAGATGCACTCCCCCACTGCTATGGGGCGAGTACCCCCTTCCGGCTTAGCGAGGGCGATGAGTCGAGATGCAGTGAGTAAGGAGCACACCTCCATGGGGAGTGGCCCTTGGAGGATGGTGCTAACGAGAGCATGGAGATGGGTGGTAACAGCTGCGTTGACGATGGTCGCATCCCTGAGGTGTTCAAAGGTCATCCCTGACGGCCCACCACCCACTCCGTTTTCGCAGCGACACAGGAGCTTCGCGAAGGCCGCTTTGGTGATGGACAGCACGTTAGTTTGGTCTGGGGGTGTCCAGTCGATGTGTCCAGGTGGCGCGGGGGGGTGCTTGGCCTTGAGTGATTCGAGTGTTTCGGGCGTTGGATCTGCCACGGGTGTAGATTCCAGGGCTAGGATTGCCCTACGTAAGCTGCCTTTTCGAACAAGGCCTTCAGCTCTGGCCCGCTTGCCCTGGGCGTCAGGTTGGTGACGTGGCGGAGGCGGCGAATCGATTGCTGCCACTGCTGCCTCGTACAGCTGGTTCCATTCGCCTTTGAAGAATTGGCGAAGTCGCAGCTTCACCGTCGGCCAATCAGGCTTCTCTGGCTTCGCCTGGCGAAGAATCAGGCGGGAAATGAAGAGCAACAGTCGCCACCCTGGCACTGAGTCAGGGTTACGCGAGAGGTGTAGCAACGGTGTCAGGATCGCCATTGCGAAACTGGCGCGGATATCGTGCGGGATCTTGCGGCTTAGGGGGGGCTGACGAGAGTCGCGAAGGGGTGTCAGGTCCCAGTTTTGGGTTTCGCCGAAGCGTGTGGTGTCATTCGCCAGCTGTTCGGGCGAGAATTGGCGGGGTTGTGCTGGTTGTGTGGTGGTGAGTGGTGCGTGGCGGTGAGCTTCCCCCCCAATTCTAATTTGTGCAGATGCGGCTCGGGGAGGTGTTGCGACATTTGCTCGACTCTCAGCTCCTGGGGCAGCGTCCCCTTCGTCCCCACCACTTCCTTCTGTGGTAGATTCCACTGCTGGCTGGGCGATAAAGGTGGGATCACGCGCCTCTTCTGCTTCATCCTCAGCTGCGTTAGCGTCATCCGCCTCTGTTAAAGCTAGCCTCGCCGCCCGCTGGAAGCCGTTCTCCCGACCTCGCCCTCTCCCCGCCGCTCTCCGTCGCCCGCCTCGGCCACCTCGCGATGCCTGTGGCTGTTGTGGCGGATCCCCAGTGCCGTATTCGCCGCGACCCTTTGGCGTGGCGTCTGCTGCGCTTGCATCGCCGGCACTGTCGGCTCCGGTGGCTCCTGTTGCGGCGATGTCGGCCGCGGGATCTCCTGCTCACGCGAGCTCCACGGTAGTCGACTCTGGACGAGAGTCGGCTGGTGTCCTCGGCCCCCCGCGCGTGCTGGCGCCGGTGTCCGTCCCGGCCTTCGTGCTGGCGCCTGTGGCTGGCGTGGCACCCCTTCCTGATCCTGGCGCGGCGCCCCCTCCTGCGCCCCACGCTCCGGTGGAGCCATTGCCTGCTGCGGCGGCTGCTGATTGTGCTGCGGAGGCGCCTGCGTCCGGCGTGGCGCCGCTTCCTGCTCCTGCCGCTGCGTCCCATGGGGCGCCGTACGGGGGGTCCGCTCCTCCACTCCCCGTGGCTCCGTCGTCCGCGCCTGCTCAGCCCCTGGGTCCTCAGCAGCGTCCCTCCCGCCCACATTCGCCCTCTCAGCGAGATGAGCGGGCAGGGTCTCGGCGCCGTCGTGATTCCCCCCGCCAGCGGCGTCCGCAGGCGAACTGGCACACGCACCGCGGAGGTTGGGTGGGAGGTCACGGTCGCGGGCGTGGCGGGTGGCAGGACGCGCCGGCGACGATTGCGGACGTGCGTCAGATCGTGACCGAGGCATTCCGCGACGGCCAGGCGGGTTCGGCAAGTCTGAGCAGCTCGCGACGTGCTGCGCCGTCGCCGTCGGCTCCCCTTCCCGTTCCTCGCCTGGCGGATGCACCGCCAGTGGCGGCGCCTCATCCGGTTCCCTCCGGTTCGTGGTGCTGGGGCTGGCTTTCCTCCCGTCCGGCTCCCGTCCCTGGCGGCGGAGCTCCTTCCCCCGCGGGTTGAGGTTCCGGAGGCGACTCTCGGTCAGCTGTGGCGGCTCTCAAAGAGCCTACGGGGTCTCCTGCTGGTGCAGTCACTGGCGCACGGGTCCCTTCCACCTGTCCCCGCGGAGTCCCTTCTTGAAGGCCCACGTGACGACTGTCTTGACGCAGCCGACCAGCTTGCCCTCCTCCTGGCGCCCGTGTTGGCAGCGCCCGTGCGGGGAGGCGTTGGGGCCGTGGGGCAACTTGATGCGGCCGTGCGGGACTTGCGGAGGTACTTGCGGGCAGGTTCTAGAGCCGACGCGATCGGCGCGACCATACTGGTGGTCCGCTCGGTGTGGCGGACGATGACGGGCATTCTCCATGCCCTGCAGGCGGATCGGATGTAGCATCCGCCTCTCTCTCTCTCTCTCTCTCTCTCTCTCTCTCTCTCTCTCTCTCTCTCTCTCTCTCTCTCTCTCTCTCTCTCTCTCTCTCTCTCTCTCCTACAACCGGATTTTTTGCTACTGCTGCCAGGCTTGACCTAATCAGGTAGCCCACATATTGGGCCCTCTGCAGCGCCACCGACCATCTCTGTCGGAATTGGTGAAGGAATTTTACCGCCTGGTACGAGTGGATCGGCATTGAAATGACGGCGTGCTGCCGTATTCGCTAGGAGCTTTAAGAAGACTGGGACCTCAGCGCACGGGCAGCCATATGTTTCAACAGCTAGTGGGAAGAAACCGACCGAGTCCGGCCTGTTTTCATAGTGCTTGAACTTCTTGTCTGCTTGTTCTCTTGCCGCCCACCATCTGCCTTTGGTCGCCATGGGGTCCCTTGTGCTGATGGGGTCCGTGATCGTTATGTCGCAGATCCACACCGCCCCGGAACTCTTATCCCGAATAGTTGAGTCGGCAGTCTGCTCCTCTATCGGGCAGTATGCCGCTGATTCCTCGTGGACGATGAAACCGGCGTCCTTGGCCATGCTAATGCAAGCGCCCCTCCGTTCATTGTGCGTATTGATCCGCGCCTTGCCGGTGCCGCAGCGGAAGAGATGGTTAGGCAGCCGTGGGTCGATTATCTCAACCTTCTTCGAGCAGTTCCAGTTTGCAGGCGTCGAGAAGGGGAGGCCAGGTCTAAAACGCACGGCGTTGGCAAAGTGTTCAGGGCACATTCGCCGCGAAGGCGCAATGGGGATGGCCAGCAACCAATCGCCTGTATCGTATCCTGTCTGTGAAATCATCCGCTGCGTATGTCCCGAGAGAGGGTTCAGCTTCATTTTCCTAGTCCTCCGCTCTTGCACCACGTATATGCTTCCTTGTACGCTCAGAGCGAGCGCATGCTGAGCTTGCAGTCCGTCGGCTCTGTTCTCTCTCAGCGCATCCGTCGGCTGTGACCGTTCACATTCCGCCAGCCAGGTATGTAGTCGTGATGTACCATCGTAAGGCGGCGCCATCTTGCTGTCAGAATGTTGTATTTGTCTAGCCTGCAGTGGGGTACTCTATAGCGAGTACAGCCCAATCTAGGGTTTCCTATATGTACTCAACTGCTTGCTAGTGAACCTCCTCCTTTCTTCATTCTTACTTTCTACTGCTAGTTCTGACATGGTATCAGAGCAGGTCGATCCCCTTGGGTCGATCCTGTGGGTGGGCCCACCACCTCACTGCTTCCGCTGCTACTGCTACTCTGTGTGTTGCACGCCCCGTGGCGTGCGACGGATTTTTCATCCCGCCGCGCGCTCGGAGCGTGCAGCGGTTTTCTGCCCGCCGTGCGCCCCGAGGCGCGCGGCGGGTTTCTGCCCCGTCACTCCGCGCGTCGCTCCCGGGAGGCGCTGCGACGGGCGACGGGGACCCGCGCGTCGCCCCCCGTCGCCCGTCGCGGCCTGCGCGACCTGCGTAGGGCCCGCGCGCGGCCCGTACGGGCTGCGCCAGGCCCGCGCGCGGCCCGTACGGGCAGCGCCAGGCCCGCGCGCGGCCCGTACGGACTGCGCCAGGCCAGGGCGCGCCTCGGGCCGCCCGCACGCGGTTCGTACGGGCTGCGCCAGGCCCGTGGGCGCCCTGTTTTCTCTGCCCCTGCGCTGCCCGCTGTCCCCCGTGCTTCTGACGGCGCCCCACCCCTGCTGCTGCCCGTTCTCCTGAATTAGGGTTTGGGGGTGGGGGGTATGGGGGTGCAGTTTCTGTGCGTCGTCCCCTACTCCTCCTCCTCCTCCGTCTCCCAGTGCTGCAGCTGCCGCTGAGGGGGGTGGGTGTGTGGGAGCCGAAGGAGTGGTACTAGGGGGGTGACGTGCAAGTGGAGTTAGGAGTGAAGCAGTGGGTGTGTGGGGGGTGTGTGGGACAGTTGGAGGAGGTTGAGCGGAGGCTGCTGTCTTGTCGTCCGCAGCACCTGTAGTCCGGGGCGCACTGTCCTGGTAGCCCAGAGAGTCTGCTGCGCCTGTCGCCCGAGGGTCCGTTGCTCCTGTAGCTCGTCGTAGCCCGTGAGCCAGTTACTCCAGTAGTCCGGGGCGCACTGTCCCGGTAGCCACTGTGCCAGCAGCTCCTGTTGCCCGTGTGTCTGCAGCTTCAGCCGCCGTCTCTCATCTTCTCTCCTCTCACAGTCCCTCCTCCTCCTCACTTGCCCGCTGTGATTACCTCTAGCTTTGCTTCTTATTGTGAACTCCTGCTATACCTGCTCATTGTGCTGATTACACCCCACTTTGGCTATGGGGGTGTGTCAGAATGTTGTATTTGTCTAGCCTGCAGTGGGGTACTCTATAGCGAGTACAGCCCAATCTAGGGTTTCCTATATGTACTCAACTGCTTGCTAGTGAACCTCCTCCTTTCTTCATTCTTACTTTCTACTGCTAGTTCTGACACTTGCTTCTGACGATTGTGAGCACGTCTCCAGGCGTCAGCGGCAAAGAATTGAGTAGATGCGCCGCTTCCGTGAAGCTCGCCAAGAAGCCGTACATGGCCTCGATTGATGGGTCATTGAGGCCTATCCCCCCGAGCGAGGGAGGGAGGGACTCGTCAAACTAGACGTTACGGGAGTCGGGGAACCGTTGGAGGGGCGGGTGGTAAAACGGAGAAGCGCAAGGCAGCCCCAGACACGAAACTCTGGCGCAACACCAGGGGACCCGGTCCAAAGACGGGTCGGTGAAGCCTCTGGTCGTGAGACACGAGGCCAGAGGTTGAGCTGGTGGGCGGCGTAGCGAACCGCGTAGGGCCACAGAAAATGGGGCGCACGGGCATGAATCATGGAGGTGCGGGCGATCTCCATTCTGCTGTGGGGACTCCGGAAGCGTCCCAGACTGGGTGATGCCTATCTCGCTACAAAATCCGGCAAGCATGCGGGAACGAAACTCACCCCCACGGTCGGAGTGGAGACAAAGGACACGACTACCACGAGTGGCCTCAGTGGCCAGTAGCCACCTGCACATCGTAAAAGTCACGTCGGACTTCTTCGCCAAAGGAAACATCGTGGTGTACCTGGAGTAGTCGTCAACGACCACCAGAAAGAAGCGCTCCCTCTCGGGCCCAAGCCGAGGGGATGGGCCCCAGACGTCCAAGTGGAGAGTCTGAAAGGGTGCGGTGGTCGGACGAAGGGAGGAGGAGTGAGGAGTGGCGCGCAGCCGACCCTCGACGCAAGGAGTGCACGACGGGCGCAGGCGAAGGAGGGAGCGACACAAAGACGCGCGGGAGACCTAAGACAAGACGTTGGCTAGCCGTGCCGCGAAGGCGTGGGAGGGACGGGTGACCAAGACGGTGGTGCCACAGGACGGTCGGTTGGGTGAGTGACCGACAGGAGCACGACGAAGCAACCTGACCAGACGTAGTAACCTGACCAGACGCAGCTACCTGGGGGGACGCAGTATGCAGGACGAAGAGACCTGAGTGGGGCTCTCTGATGAACGTGGCAAGAACTGCCCTGGTGGAAGCGTCCGTACAGATCGCAGTCCTCCCGTGCGCAGGAAATGTGAATGTGATCCCATGGTCCTGAAGGTATCCAACACCCACCAAGTTCGGAAAGAACGAGGGGATGTAGAGACGAGTGAGGGAACCAAAGGGGACAGCCGGGCACGGGAGGGTGGTAGAATGGTCCTGAACTAGGATCAGCGAGGGCAACTGGAACTCGAGCAGGAAGAGGTGTGACAGTGGTGTGGTCGCGGAAGAAGCACTGAGACGCGCCAGAGTCCAGCGTGAAGGAGAGTGACGCGTCAGTAGTCGTCACAGCTAGAAACACGAGCACCTATACTAGCAACAGGCAAGTTCCTAAGTTGGGTACACGCAAGCCAAGAGATCCATATGTGACAGAATATACAGCATCCATAGACATATCAAACACATGGTAACCACTACGAGACAGACCGAGCCTGATCGGGGGAGCCGAGTCAGGCCCAACGCAGAGCAGTGCAGAGTGGATAGGACGCCAGCAGGTAGTGCCAGCACCATGACCAGTCAGGATCCGGTATTGGCAGGGGCCGATGTCGCGGCCACCGCGACGAGCTCCCCAGCTTGTTGGGCCGCTGCTGCAGCCAACGCCACTCGGACCACCAGGTCCCCACTGCTGCTGAGGGTGCCACTGTTGCTGAGGGCGCCACTGCAGCTTAGGGCCCCACTGCTGAAACTGCTGAAACGGTTGATGCTGCTGTCCTTGCTGCTGTAGAACCCCAGCGGACGCCATGGTAAAAGGCTAGCTGGGCAAAGGAGAGGCAGGCTAGGAACAACTGGCACTAGGAACTGCTGGAACATGAGTGATTGGAGCTAGGAACAGCTGGAGGTAGGAACAGCTGGAACTAGAAAGGCTGGAGCTAAGAGCTGCAGGAGCTAGGAATGGCTGGAGCTGGACACGGCGAGAGCTAGGAACAGTTAGGAACGCCAGGCAAGAACTAGAAACGGCTGGAGCTAGAAACGGTAAGTGTGGGTGCCAGCCGCAGCTAGTAGTGCCACCGGCAGTGAAAAGAGCGTGCGGCAGTAGGGGTTGCAGTACAGACGGCTGCGGGATGTAGGCAGCTGTGCGGGTCGCCCGGCACGCAGTAATGCAGGCAATAGTTTTTTTTTATGTTTTATTTATTTATTTAAGGTTATTTAATTAATGTATTTTTTGGCGCTAGAGCGCTACGGGGCGCGCTGCATGCAGGGTGCGCTGCCTGTGGGGCGCGTTGCCTACGGGGCGCGTTGCCTGCGGGGCACGCTGCCTGTGGGGGGGGCGCCCTGCCTGCGGGGCGCGCTGCCTGTGGGGCGCCCCTGCGGGGGCGCACTGCCTGTGGGGCGCGCCTGTGGGGCGCGCTGCCTGTGGGGTGCGATGCTTGTGGGGTGCACTGCCTAATGCAGTGCGCGGCAGTCTAAGGCTGTGCACGTGGGGCAGCCTAAGGCTGGCTGCTGCGCGTGCTATGCGCGAACGGGCTGGTGGCTGGCTGGCTAGGGCTGGCTGG